CAACTCCCTTCCTCAATGCGCGCTGACATGACGCTTCCGCCAGCTACTAAGGCTAATGGAAGATTTTAGTTTAGACTAGGGAAACCGGGAACTGACGATGAAGTGAAAAATAAGGTTGGCAATTTAAATTTAGTCGCGAGTCAGTTTGATAGGAAACAAAGCGTCGATAGATGGGAAATATAGTAAAACAGGATAGCAGGTCTAGTATAGGCTAAGGTTTCCAGGGCACCAGCGACATATCCCTGCCCAAGACTTCCTAATTATAAAGTACCCCACTAGGCGCCCACTGAAAGTCGGTTTATTTGATTTAAACCGTCTTTCTGTTTGTCTGTCAGTTACTGTTGAAGCATTTCTAATAGACAATTTTCTCCCTCTGATAGCGGGAAAGTGTTAAGGCTATCTGGTTTTGCCGTCCCAACTCGTATGAGGTCTCCCAAAAGCACGCGATCGCGAAATACACTAAAGAAAAACGCAATTTTGGGGAATGAAGGAGAGTTGAGTTTAATTGTAGATAATGTCTAACTTTCCTTAATCGATTTTAGGTCCCTCACCTACTGCGTTTACTTAGTGGAGATGACAGCATTACAGCCGTTTAGCAACGAGCAATTAAATTTCTTTAAGTTCTCGTCCTTGGTATTAAATGAATTCCCCAAAGCCTTACGGCAGACTTTTAAAACCATGTGGGACAACACCTATGGACATCGCCCTGGTTTCCAGCTCTGGGATGATTCCACTGCAGTCAGAAATATGTTCGACTCTGCAGAAACAAAAAGTGGCAAGAAGACTAAAGTTCCTGTTCTCCAGTCTTATAGCGAATGGGATTGTACTAACCTGTTCCAGGCTACTATATTTGCGCGGTCCTTTGCCCCATTAGCCAGTACAGGCTCCTTCACCACACTAAGTGATTTGTACGTGAAGCCCTGTGCAGTACCTCATGGTAGTTTCCACGCATGTGTGGTCAGCCCGGGTGGAAACATGGCTGAGACCTTTGCACTTGCGATTGATCAGCTTCGTCTTCTCAGAAATTCGCTTTGTCACTCCACCAGTAGTGAGATGGACAAAGCGACGTTTGACCAGCGCGTGAATTACTCCAGAGATGCGTTTCAAGCCCTTGGTGTCTCGACAGCACCAATTGACGCACTTGTCAGTTTGGCCGAGTCAGACTTTCCCACAAATGAAATTCGAAAATTGGAAGCAAGAATCCGAGACGAGACTCGGGCGTACATCAAATGTCTCGAGGACTTCAGAGAAGGTCTGGAGAGTTTAAAGCAACGAGTCGAAGTGGATAATGCCAGCAAAGAGGACATTACTAGGCTGGAAAAAAAGATTGATGAATTGAAAGTAGGAAGAGACGAACAAGATAACCTACCCGAAAATTCAGGTAAGATTTTCAGGAATTGTTCCAGCCGAAGGCTCAGTTTACGGTGTGGACAAATAGTAAGCAAATTGTAATTACAGGACTGGTTATTTGAGCCAGTTCCATGCATTTACAAATAAACAATATCAAAGCCTATTAAGTTTTCCTTTTTCATGAGAGCCTTCAGATTGCAAGGTAATTATAAGAGTCTTAGCCGCGGAGAGTAAACCTTTTCCCAGTTAGGTTTTATTTGCACCCACTAGTTTCCTGTAGCTCAGTGGTAGAGCACCTGTTGAGAAGTTCTCAGACTTTTTCTGTTGAGCCGTCTGCCAGACACTGCCTGAAGAACATCGTTCTCAAGGTTTTGTTATGTATGTAAGCTTCCTTTATATAAACAGATGAACGAATGGCTTTGGGTCGACGTCATAACCAAGCTCTTTTCCTAAATCACCAGGTTATAAATATAAAATTAACGGATTTGAATTCACTGCAAGAATATCATTTGTACATTGAACGACGGGTCAAAATTGACTTCTTCATATATTTATTTTTGAAGATTTCCTTTACACTTTTGGTCTTTTCTCATCATAAAAGGTACGAGACCATCGCTCTCAAGAGCCTACCTTCCTTCAATGGTTCGTAATTTCACTGGGCGACAGAGCGAAGTTGAAGAGATCATCGGACATGTCACTTCCGAATCCACCCGACTTGTGTCTATCTGGGGTTCACCTGGATTCGGAAAAACGTCGGTTGCAATTGCAGTGGGACACGCTCTTCAGACTCAAGGGCTGCTTGTGTACTGGGTTTCATTGAGAGGACTTCAGTCAAAGGCGGGTCTGACTTCAAAGATTCTTAGTCTTCTAAAGCAGCCAACCATTCAAGATAAAAAACCGTCCGATCAGCATCTATCCCTAGATGATGAGATTTGCCAACTTCTCAGTGAAATATCAAAACAATCTGTATTTATCCTAGATAATGCTGATGATTTGTTAGAAAGTGGTCGACCAAAAGTGAAGGAAGAAGTCATGCGACTTCTTGAAGAAATTTTGAGGCAAAATCCAAGGGTGACATTTGTTGTAACCACAAGAGAGTCCCTTGAGTTTATGGACGTCCACTTTCAAGGCCATCGAGGTTTAAGAATAGGAACATTGGGTGAAGCCTCTGCTCAAACGCTAATTCATGAGTTATTTCCACATGCGAACATTAGTAAAAAAAAGTTAGAAATAAAAAGGGAAATGTAAAAAATAAAAACCGAAAAGCAAAATAGCGAAGTGAAAATCAAAACGCTAAAAGCGAAAACGGAAAAGTAAAAAGTAATAAACGAAAATCTCAGCCGAAAAGAAAAAAAAAAATATGGTGCAAATCGAAAAGAAAATAATGCAAAGCGTTTGCTACTTAGAATTAATAGTGGATAACTTGTTTATTTTTATTCATCAGTAAGGGTGAAATTTAAAAAGTTACTATACAGCCCCCACGTAAAAATGGTACTCTTTTTTTTTTTACGAAAGTCTTTCAAAAGGCTACAATGTTCTGAATGAGTTTATGATTCAGTCTCACATGAGATTCTATGTCACGCAATGGTCGGCGACAAGGGTTTATGGTAGCCTGAGTGTGTAAAGCGCCCCCTCCCCTCAGGAAAAAAATAGCCCCTTGGCAACCCAGTTAAAAATCGCCTTTCGGCGATTCTTGTTAGGTTTTGGTTTTGGTTTTCATTACATTATTTAAAAGCAAAAACAAAAGCTGAAAATAAGAATTTAAGGCATATATGAAAAAAAAACACGAAAATAGTGAGATCAAAGCAAAACTGAAAAGTAAAACGAAATAGATCGGTAAAAATAAAAAAGTTAGAAATGAAAAGGGAAAAGTAAAAAATAAAAACCGAAAGGCAAAATAGCGAAGTTAAAAATCAAAACGTTACACACGAAAACGGAACTTGGTAAAAAATAAAAACGAAAATCTCAGCCGAAAAGAAATATGGCCAAGTGAAAAGCAAAAAGTTAAAAACAGAAATGGAAAAGTGAAAAATAAATCGAAATCACTAAGTGGCCCCCGGGGCTTCCGTATTACCCTTTGATTTATCATGAAATCAAATAGTCATTGATTATTGGCGAAGATCGATGAGTAATCGATGAGTAATCGAAGCCCAAAAATTTTGTGGGCTATCTATTACTCATCGATGACATCGATTACTCATTGATGTAATTGATTACTCATCGATGACCCATCGATTACTCATCGACTATTATACTGCGCACGAAAGACACTTTCCTGGCTTTCTTGTACCATTTTTTTTCGTTTGTGGTTCTTTTATCTGTGTTCTTGTATCTGAAGATCCTGTTGCCGATGTGAGACGCAAAGTGCTGATCACAAATACAGTTTTTTTAATTTTGTTTTTCTTCGCCAAATACGTTTGCAGCCACGAGATGATATCGATGAGTAATGGATGAAATCAATGACTAAACAATGCAATCAATGACTAATTGATGACCAAAAATTTTGTGGCCTATCGATTAGTCATCGATTATTCATTGATCATCGGCAATAATCAATGACTAATCAACTGATTACCTATCGATTACCTATTGATTACTCATTGATTTCATTGATGTCATTGACGTCATCGATTAGTTATGTCTGGAATCACGCATTGTGCCGGTTTCTTTGACTTTTACCCGCAAATTTGTTTATAAAAAAAACTTTTTGGAGACTGAGACGAGGAAGAAACTAGTGGAAACGTTTTTACTAGTCATGCCCCCAAAAGAACAACTGCTGTGCTGTATTGTAGTTTGCGAAATAAATAAACGAAACGTCTAGATTAATTTACATGAATAAATTATGCATAACGCATCCAACTGTTCACTGTAGCATTTTCCATAAATGGAGTATATAGGAATGTGCCGCTGTGAAGAGTATGGTTTTCAAGCAGCATAGCCTGGGATAGGGTATAGAAATCAGAAATTGTGTGTCTAGAATAGGGTATCATTTTTGAGAAAGCTGATCCATTGATTGAGGATAAGCATGCGAGTGAGGTTTTGGCAGCGAAGCCGCCACTCTCTCGCGCGAGAATTCGCAACTCCCTGCCTCAATGCGCGCTGACATGACGCTTCCGCCAGTTACTAAGGCTAATGGAAGATTTTAGTTTAGTCTAGGGAAACCAGGAATTGACAATTAACTGAAAAATAAGGTTGGCAATTTAAATTTAGTCGCGAGTCAGTTTGATAGGAAACAAAGCGTCGATAGATGGGAAATATAGTAAAACAGGATAGCAGATCTAGTATAGGCTAAGGTTTCCAGGTCACCAGCGACATATCCCTGCCCAAGACTTCCTAATTATAAAGTACCCCACTAGGCGCCCACTGAAAGTCGGTTTATTTGATTTAAACCGGCTTTCCCTTTGTCTGCCAGTTACTGTTGAAGCATTTCTAATAGACAATTTTCTCCCTCTGATAGCGGGACAATGTTAAGGCTATCTGGTTTTGCCGTCCCAACTCGTATGGGGTCTCCCAAAAGCACGCGATCGCGAAATACACTGAAGAAAAACGCAATTTTTGGGAATGAAGGAGAGTTGACTTTAATTGTAGATAATGTCTAACTTTCCTTCATCAATTTTAGGTCCCTCACCTACTACGTTTACCAAGTGGAGATGACAGCATTACAGCCGTTTAGCAACGAACAATTAAATTTCTTTAAGTTCTCGTCCTTAGTATTAAATGAATTCCCCAAAGCCTTACGGCAGACTTTTAAAACCATGTGGGACAACACCTATGGACATCGCCCTGGTTTCCAGTTCTGGGATGATTCCACTGCAGTCAGAAATATGTTCGACTCTGAAGAAGCAAAAAGTGGCAAGAAGACTAAAGTTCCTGTTCTTCAGTCTTACAGCGAATGGGATTGTACTAACCTGTTCCAGGCTACTATATTTGCGCGGTCCTTTGCCCCATTAGCCAGTACAGGCTCCTTCACCACACTAAGTGATTTGTACGTGAAGCCCTGTGCAGTACCTCACGGTAGTTTCCACGCATGTGTGGTCAGCCCGGGTGGAAACATGGCTGAGACCTTTGCACTTGCGATTGATCAGCTTCGTCTTCTCAGAAACTCGCTTTGTCACTCCACCAGTAGTGAGATGGACAAAGCGACGTTTGACCAGCGCGTGAATTACGCCAGAGATGCGTTTCAAGCCCTTGGTGTCTCGACAGCACCCATTGACGCACTTGTCAGTTTGGCCGAGTCAGACTTTTCCACAAATGAAAATCGAAGATTGGAAGCAAGAATCCGAGGCGAGACTCGGGTGTACATCAAATGTCTCGAGGACTTCAGAGAAGGTCTGGAGAGTTTAAAGCAGCGAGTCGAAGCGGATAATGCCAGCAAAGACGACATTACTAGGCTTGAGAAAAAGATTGATGAATTGAAAGTAGGAAGAGACGAACAAGATAACTTACCCGAAAATTCAGGTAAGATTTTGAGGAATTGTTCCAGCCGAAGGCTCAGTTTACGGTTTGGACAAATAGTAAGCAAATTGCAATTGCAGGACTGGTTATTTGAGCCAGTTCCATGCATTTACAAATAAACAATATCAAAGCCTATTAAGTTTTCCTTTTTCATGAGAGCCTTCAGATTACAAGGTAATTAAAAAAAGGAAAAGGCTTAGCCGCGGAGAGTAAACCTTTTTCCAGTTAGGTTTTATTTGCACCCACTAGTCTCCTGCAGCTCAGTGGTAGAGCACCTGTTGACTCCTGTTGGGAAGTTCTCAGATTTTTTCTGTTGAGCCGTCTACCAGACACTGCCTGAAGAACATCTTTGTCAAGGTTTTGTTATGTATGTAAGCTTCCTTTATATAAACAGATGAAGGAATGGCTTTGGGTCGACCTCATAACCAAGCTCTTTTCCTAAATCAACCAGGTTATAAATATAAAATTTACGGATTTGAATTCACTACAAGAATATCATTTGTACATTGAACGACGGGTCAAAATTGACTTATTCATCTATTTATTTTTGAAGATTTCTTTTACACTTTTGGTCTTTTCTTATCATAAAAGGTACGAGCCCATCGCTCTCAAGAGCCTACCTTCCTTCAATGGTTCCCAATTTCACTGGGCGACAGAGCGAAGTTGAAGAGATCATCGGACATGTCACTTCCGAATCCACCCGACTTGTGTCTATCTGGGGTTCACCTGGATTCGGAAAAACGTCGGTTGCAATTTCAGTGGGACACGCTCTTCAGACTCAAGGGCTGCTTGTGTACTGGGTTTCATTGAGAGGACTTCAGTCAAAGGCGGGTCTGACTTCAAAGATTCTTAGTCTTCTAACGCAGCCAACCATTCAAGATAAAAAACCGTCCGATCAGCATCTATCCCTAGATGATGAGATTTGTCAACTACTCAGTGAAATATCAAAACAATCTGTATTTATCCTAGATAATGCTGATGATTTGTTAGAAAGTGGTCGACCAAAAGTGAAGGAAGAGGTCATGCAACTTCTTGAAGAAATTCTGAGGCAAAATCCAAGGGTGACATTCATTGTAACCACAAGAGAGTCCCTTGAGTTTATGGACGTCCACTTTCAAGGCCATCGAGGTTTAAGAATAGGAACATTGGGTGAAGCCTCTGCTCAAACGCTAATTCATGAGTTATTTCCACATGCGAACATTGCAGACTGCAGCAAAATCGCACAACTCTGCGGACAAGTTCCTTTAGCCATGAAATTAATGTGTTCTTTGATATCTGAAGACAGTGCTTCACCGCGCCATTTTCTGGATAATTTCATGAAATCTTCCTCAGAAAGTATTGTTAAAATGTTGGACAATCTCGATTATCCNTTGTAACCACAAGAGAGTCCCTTGAGTTTATGGACGTCCACTTTCAAGGCCATCGAGGTTTAAGAATAGGAACATTGGGTGAAGCCTCTGCTCAAACGCTAATTCATGAGTTATTTCCACATGCGAACATTGCAGACTGCAGCAAAATCGCACAACTCTGCGGACAAGTTCCTTTAGCCATGAAATTAATGTGTTCTTTGATATCTGAAGACAGTGCTTCACCGCGCCATTTTCTGGATAATTTCATGAAATCTTCCTCAGAAAGTATTGTTAAAATGTTGGACAATCTCGATTATCCGACCAGTCATCGATTAAAGTTCGTCTTTGATTCCTCGTTCCAGAGACTTCCTGAGCAAGAACAAGAAGCACTAATTTCTTTAAGCATTTTCCCAGAAAATTTCAGTACAGAGGTCGCTGCAGCCGTGTTAGGTACGAAAACCGCTTACGAAGCCAAAAGAATGTTACAAAGTCTTCGGAGGAAGTCTCTGATTGATTCAAGCTCTAAACCCGGGGCTTTCACGATGCACAAACTCTTGCAATCATTTTCAAGAGAGAAAGGACACACCGATTTGAAAGAGACGATTCTCAACGCAAAAGTTCGTTTGAATGCATTCTATGTCTCACACTTTCATAAGCTAAATGAACAATTTCTCACTGGGCATTCCTTGGCTGCATATGTTGCATTCTATGAGGATAAAGAGAGCATTATTCAAAGCCTAACAGAGGGATGCTTTGATTCCAAAACAGCTGACAGCGTCTTTCAAATTTTGGTCAAAGGGGAGTTGTTTCTTGACTCGCTTTTTTGGAGTGACGCGAAAATTTTTCTTCACATATACGACACTGCCATAAACGCAGCCAATCTGCATGGGAACGAAAAATACCACAGACAGCTACTTTCATCAAAAGCTTTTTGTGAGGTAACCTGGGGACCAACAGGACAGACAAATTATCTTCTCTCTGAAGTAAAAGAAAAGCAAGCAGCAGCATCCACTGTTTCTGACCTAGAAAAAGACAAATGCTTGTGCTATTTAGGAATTTTTTACCTTACAGCAAAGGAATCGAAGAGCGGAGTCCAGTGCTTAAAGGAGGCACTTTCGTCACTGGAAAATTGCAAGGACCCAGAGTCGCTAATTCTAAAGCTTCTTATTTCTCAGATCCTGGCTTGTTATTATAAGTCCATAAATGACTTCGACAATGCGAGTCTTTTCTATTGCAAATCAGTACATTTGTGTTCTGCAGTGGGAGATTGGAAGCTTCTTATTATTCCGCCAGCGAAAAGCAAAGCAAAGGACGCCAACAATGAAATTCAAGTTGGACAGAAATCAGAAACCTTGCTCAATGAACCGCTTGAATTCCAATTTGCCTATCTCTTAAGCAAAGCTACAGAGCTTTTCTCCGACGCTAAAACGAAGCAATATACAAGCAACTTGGTTCTTCAAATGCTAGAGTGTGTCGAAAAAGAAGTTATAATTTCACTTGGCTTGCTAAAGTTCCATAGAGCGGTGGTACAACTGTTGTGGAAGTTAAACAGTGAAGACCCTGTGAATTCTCTTTGGTCAAGAATCAAATATCTTGAAAAAACACTCGAACAATGCCAAGAAAGTCTCCTTGCCAATGATGAATATGGCGGTAACCGTTACAGTCAAATACAAAGTGAAACGCTTGTGAAGTGCTACATAGACCTGAGCAAAGTTTACCAGGAAAGAAAAAATTACTCAAAGGCACTACAGTCAAACCGGCGAGCGCTTGACATAGCAACAAGGTTCTTTGGAGAAGAACACGAAAGCACTGCTGACAGCTACAGGCAACTCGGTATAATACAAAACAACATGCATGACTACAGCGCAGCTCTACAATCCAAGCAGCGTGCGTTAGCTATCCATCTTAAACTATTTGGAGAGGACCATGAAAGCACTGCTGACAGCTACAGGCAACTTGGTGTAACACAAAACAACATGCATGACTACAGCGTAGCTCTAAAATCCAAGCAGCATGCATTAGTTATTCATCTTAAACTATTTGGAGAGGACCATGAAAGCACCGCTGACAGCTACAGGGAAATCGGTGTAACACAAAACAACATGAATGACTACAGCGCAGCTCTACAATCCAAGCAGCGTGCATTAGCTATCCATCTTAAACTATTTGGAGAGGACCATGAAAGCACTGCTGACAGCTACAGGCAACTAGGTGTAACACAAAACAACATGCATGACTACAGCGCAGCTCTACAATCGAAGCAGCGTGCATTAACTATTCATCTTAAACTATTTGGAGAGGACCATGAAAGCACTGCTGATAGCTACAGGGAACTCGGTGCAACACAATACAACATGCATGACTACAGCGCAGCTCTACAATCTCACCAGCATGCTTTAGCTATCCGTATTAAACTATTTGGAGAAGAACATGCAAAAACTGTTGACAGCTACAGGTGCCTAAAGTTCACTCAAAAAGCGCAACGTGAAAAAAATAAGAAGAACAAAGGGGAAAGACCGACCTGTAGACCTTTTTGAAAGCCAAGTGACGTTTCATTGTCTTAATGAATGGGGGTTTGTAAGTGTTAATAATAAGAGAACGAGTAACTTGAATATCTCCCTTTGATGTATTTTATGTTCTCACGGCATGTGGATAGAGAATACGTAAGAGCTTTATCGTCAACTTAACCCCGGTTTATTAAGGAAACCCGGTAAATAAAGGACACTTTGTCCTGTCAGAAGGCTCATATCCCTTAAATAAACCCTCTGTACCGTTTGATACGGATAGCGAGTCGTTTTATGTGGCTTGAGGGACTGCAAATGCTTTATTTTAGCACGATAAGAAGATCCGCACTGCTGGTGGGGTTGTGCATACAACAGTTATGAGAAAAATAAGGAGCACTTAAAACAAATGTACAATTCAAAATTAAAAACTGTTAAAAATATTTGTAACAGGTATCTCTGTTTTTAGTTGTAGCTAAAATAGGTTCGAAATTCATTTCATCAGTATCAAATTTTGCAAGACAGTGTGAATCAGATAATCGGTGCTGTAAGAGTCTTTGTTTGTGACAGTTGACAGTGAAACATTTAAGCAGCATGCATTAGCATGCATTAGCTATCCGGATTAAACTATTTGGAGAAGACCAAGAAAGCACTGCTGACAGCTACAGGCAACTCAGTCTAACATAATACAACATGCATGACTACAGTGCAGCTTTACAATCACTCCAGCATGTATTAGCTATTCGTATTAAACTATCTGGAGAAGACCATGAAAGCACTGCTGACAGCTACAGGCAACTCAGTCTATCACAATACAACATGCATGACTACAATGCAGCTCTACAATCACTCCAGCATGCATTAGCTATTCGTATTAAACTATTTGGAGAATAGCATGAAAGCACTGCTGACAGCTACAGGCAACTCGGTGTAACACGAAACAACATGCATGACTCCAACGCAGCTCTGCAATCTGAGCAGCGTGCATTACCTAGCCGTGTTAAACTATTTGGAAAAGACCATGAAAGCACCGCTAACAGCTACACGCGCCTAAAGATCACTCAAAATGCGCAACTTGAAAAAGACAAAATAAAAAAAGGGAAAAAACCGACCTGTAGACCTTTTTGAAAGCTAAGTGACGTTTCATTGTCTAAATGAATGGGATTTTGTCAGTGTTAGAACGAGTAACTAGAAAATCTCCTTTTCTAAATGCATTTTATGTTCACACGGCATGTCACGGGCAGAGAATACGTAAGAGCTTGATTGTCAATTTAACCCCGGTTGTTTAAGGAAACCCGGTCAGTAACGGACAGTTTTCTTTGTCCTGTCAGAAGGCTCATATCCAAGACTCTCTGTACAGTTTGGTACGGATAACGAATACTTTTGTGGGCTCGAGCGACCGGAAATGCTATCATTAACGTCGCTTTATGGACACTATTGATCAGTGCGCCGTATACAACTTACTATCTGGCTATGTGTTCTACCTCTTCTTCAGTTGTTCAAATCATCGCGGATATCTTCACTCGCAAATGTGAATCAGATAATCGGTGCTTGTAAGAATCTTTATTCCTGAGTGACAGTTGACAGTTGTTAAACAATAAAAATGCAAGCAATGGAGATTTTAGCTTTGATATAGTTTATCTTACCCGGTTTGATTTATGCTTAAAATTAAGAGGATGTTCTTAAGTGGTTACTGTATGGCAGATAAGTTATACTAATTAAGGGATGTTTTATCGGTATGTAATGTGGGGTATTATGAAGATCCAATTATTAGTTGTTTAGAATTACATCACAAGTTCAATCATCAACATAAACCTCCTTCAGTCATGAATTCGATCTTAACCCTTTCGCCCCGGAAGCGCCCGGAGAAGCGCCCTTAACCACTTAAACCCTAAGATCAAAATTTGAATTCTCATTTGTTGCCCCTATTCATTTCCTACAGAGGTAGTGGGGAGAAGTTGATAAAATATCAATCAAATTCATCTTGTGTGATTATGTCCGTAATTCTCATGACTACTCTGTCTTACAAAGAATTGATATTACAAGGAGAAATTTGATGCTGATCACTCTAAGGGATTAAAGGGTTAACTGCCCTAGCCTGCGTGGCAGGATAATGTCAGGATTCCCTTCCCCTTCCCCTTCGAACGCCTGCCACGCAGGCTATAAACGCCCGTGCGGATCCACGTCCCTTCTAGCGCTTGTGACATCATAAGTTTTACCGGTCAAGGAGAGCTTTGTCCGCTAACTTGTGCAGGATGAAGCGATCTTTCAAACTATACCAGAATGAGCACGATTCAGTCAGAGACCGGAGAAAAAGTCAGAAAACCATGTAACGCTGACCTGAAAATTTCCATGAAAATCTTGTCCACCATCCACCTACCTTTCCTTTCATCTTATCGTAAGATTCTAAAAGCTTTCCTAAAAACGTTTCTCACCAAACTGTAGCCCACTAAATACCCAGAAAACGAAAAAAGGACGCAAGAAAAGCGAAAGAAGAGAGGAGGAGAGACAGCAAAATGCATAAGACTGCTGTGTCACTTATAAACCCATCTTTTTCTATTTCTGCGCATGCCCGAACATCTCAAGCTAAAATTTTGCATCTCGATCAGAAGGCCGCAAAGTGCACGACCTGTAAACGGTTTTGTGGTAAGTTTTTAAGTTGTTTTTAGCAAGACTGTGACCAAAACCTCTCAACTAGATTCAAAACGCGTAATGGCAAAATGTCCAGGGGAGAATGGGTTAAACAAGTATGTTCTTTTTAGTACCCCTCCACGACAACCCTTTATCTCAAAATAATTTTCAGTTAGGGTTTTCAACAATCCAGTTCCAACAAAGGCTTGTGTTATACCTTCAAAAATATCACATGGTTTGACATTTCAAAATATAACCTCTATCGGCTTATTTTGGTTGTTTTTTTAGCTCATAGTTCCTGTGTTTTCTATCAAATTCACACAGTTGATGGTTTTTATTTGTAACTCAATTTGAGTCTAATGTCGAGGGTCGATTATTTCATGTCGAGGGTCCATTTTTTCAAGTCATTTTTGTTTTTCATACAGATTAGCAATAATCTACAAATAAAAACAAAAATGTAAAAAAAAAAACACGCTTTGGACAGACAAGAGACCTTTATATTTATCCACAGCCCCGACTAGCTCGTCATGCAACGCATGTTCCGATCAGGCCCCTTGTAAAATTTTTATTAAGCGGCCTAGCACGATTTTTTTTGAAAAAGTTTACTTTGGGTATTACCAACCCCTCCCTCACCTTCTAATCACTGTAAATTAAAAGACAAAATCACGAATCACGGACTTTCAATTCCGGCTCTTTAACAGAGATCGAAGATTTGCGCTCGCAACGGATTTAGCAGTGAAATAACTAAGAAGAAAAGTTCACGAGTCATCGCATTTCGTAAGACCGGATGACAGCGTGCTTTAGCTATTCATCTTAAACTATTTGGAGAGGACCATGAAAGCACTGCTGATAGCTACAGGGAACTCGGTGCAACACAATACAACATGCATGACTACAGCGCAGCTCTACAATCTCACCAGCATGCTTTAGCTATCCGTATTAAACTATTTGGAGAAGAACATGCAAAAACTGTTGACAGCTACAGGTGCCTAAAGTTCACTCAAAAAGCGCAACGTGAAAAAAATAAGAAGAACAAAGGGGAAAGACCGACCTGTAGACCTTTTTGAAAGCCAAGTGACGTTTCATTGTCTTAATGAATGGGGGTTTGTAAGTGTTAATAATAAGAGAACGAGTAACTTGAATATCTCCCTTTGATGTATTTTATGTTCTCACGGCATGTGGATAGAGAATACGTAAGAGCTTTATCGTCAACTTAACCCCGGTTTATTAAGGAAACCCGGTAAATAAAGGACACTTTGTCCTGTCAGAAGGCTCATATCCCTTAAATAAACCCTCTGTACCGTTTGATACGGATAGCGAGTCGTTTTATGTGGCTTGAGGGACTGCAAATGCTTTATTTTAGCACGATAAGAAGATCCGCACTGCTGGTGGGGTTGTGCATACAACAGTTATGAGAAAAATAAGGAGCACTTAAAACAAATGTACAATTCAAAATTAAAAACTGTTAAAAATATTTGTAACAGGTATCTCTGTTTTTAGTTGTAGCTAAAATAGGTTCGAAATTCATTTCATCAGTATCAAATTTTGCAAGACAGTGTGAATCAGATAATCGGTGCTGTAAGAGTCTTTGTTTGTGACAGTTGACAGTGAAACATTTAAGCAGCATGCATTAGGATGCATTAGCTATCCGTATAAAACAATTTGGAGAAGACCATGAAAGCACTGCTGACAGCTACAGGCAGCTCAGTCTAACATAATACAACATGCATGACTACAGTGCAGCTTTACAATCACTCCAGCATGTATTAGCTATTCGTATTAAACTATCTGGAGAAGACCATGAAAGCACTGCTGACAGCTACAGGCAACTCAGAAAAATCACGAATCACGGACTTTCAATTCCGGCTCTTTAACAGAGATCGAAGATTTGCGCTCGCAACGGATTTAGCAGTGAAATAACTAAGAAGAAAAGTTCACGAGTCATCGCATTTCGTAAGACCGGATGTTGCAATGATGCAATTTTTTCACGAATCAAGGCAAATTTTGTTAAAATAACATCAACCTGCAAGATTAGTGCATGAGTTATCAAATGCGATCTTTAACGTCACGTCCACTGTCCACGCTCCCGGTTCTTTGGCTTACAACATCGTACAGCTGTCGTGCTATTTGAGCTAACAAAGACTGTAAAAAATATTACACTGTTAATTTCTTTTTGGTGTGTGCGTGTGTGCGATGCGCGTGTAAGACGGAGAGTGTATGTGACTTTTCTTTTCTTTTATGGTCATTTCGGACATGCACCCATGGACAACGGGTGAGAAGTGAAATCAATCACACTGCGTCATACATTAGGAGAATTCACGCTTTACGCTTTATTGAAAAAGAGTGAGAAAACATATGATTGTGAGTGCAATTCCCACAAACAGCTCTGACAGGCAATTGCGCCG